ATGAGGATCAAGTCTATAGAAAATCCAATCATTGATGTGGAGCACGACGAGGATGATGAAGACTTATGGGGCTTTAACGAAGAAGTCTCCTTAATCCAGGAGGATGAAAGGACCCCTCTTTGCCATGACCCCCATTCTAACATGGTTGTAAATAATATGCTGAAGAAACAAGGACATTTCCCTGGGATGACCCTAAGAAAGATGAAAGGAATAGAAAAGTCGCTGGAGTCACCTGGCCTCCCTAAGTTAGACACTTTCGGACTTGGTTTCGAACCGACTCGGAAAGATCTCAAGCGAGCCTAGGAAAAGTCAAAGGCACGTAGAGACGCTCGCATTCAAAAGAAAGCAATCCCAATGGATCAGTACCCTCTTACACTTAATGGTCAATTTATAAAAGAAGGAGAAGACTATCCATGCCATGAATTTCCCGAGCCATTTGTTGTAAACGGCATAAGGCAACCGGGATTTGAGATTTTCTTGGATTGTTATTTCACAGATGAAATACCAACTCCTATCCATAAGGAGAAAGCACCCCCATGCTTTGACTTTAACGTCATGGGATTGCTTTTTGGGCGAGAAAAGAATGAGCCAACTTACAAAGAAGACAACTCCTCGCTCATTCTGACAGTCCTACAAAGCAAAAGCTTCGATCCCTCGAAGCTAATCACTCCAGCTGAAGGATCACTACAAGGGTGGCGCAAGACTATCAAGGTGACTACTCCAAGCGGAAGAAAAATATCCATCACGACAGGGAAAGGACCAATGTTTGAAGAGTCGTCTGAGTCAGAGTCTGAGTCGGAGTCTCTCCCTATAGAGTCTTCTAGGCCTTTAGTAGTAGCACCTTCCCTTCCTATTTCTTCTCCTAGAATAGTTAGTGATCAAGTCCCTGAGGACATATCACTCTTTGATGTAATTATCTCAGAGTATAATAATATTTCTCCTTCTCCTTATTTCTTGTGTTTTTCTCTAACAAAAGAAGACGAGCATTGCTTAACTAACAATGAAAAAGACAAAGAACTTATTATTTTTTTTTTTTTTTTGAAAAAGATAAAAAAATTTATTGATCACCAAAGAAAAAGGCAGTCAAAACATCAAAGGGCTAAGAGCCTTAAGCAAAAACAAATACAGCTACAACACAAACTCCTACAACCAACAAAACAATCCAGCACACTACTCTTATCTGCTAACCAGATCCTTGAACCACATCTGATTTTTTCTGCTAGTCTTAACTGGCATGACATAAGAAATTCTATGAAAAAGATCACTCCACAGCTTCTAGATCACCTTCTCAGGCTGCATAACACATTTATTCCAGACAACTTTGTTTCTCTTACTCCAGATGACATACAGTAACCCAGCATAACAACTGAAAAGCACCTGTCTCTGGAATCTGCCTTTAATAGCTCTTAACTTCTTATTGCAGTCTTCTATATTCATAGGATCCATGATTATCTTCAGCTTCTTTCGTAGAAAATAAGAACATTTCCTGCTATAATCACACTCAAAGAATAAATGGTCCACAGTCTCATCCCCATCATCACAAAGAGGACATGAAGGATTATTGATCACTCCAATGTAGTAGAGCTGAGCTCTTACTCAAATCCTTCTCCACATTATCAACCAGCACACAAATTTATGCCTAGAAATATTCAGTTTGTTCCAAACTCAATCACCCCACTCAACATCACAATATTGAATTTCTAACCAATTATAGCCACTAGCAATAGTGTACCCATTTGGGTTTCCGACCAACTATTACCAACATATCCTGTCTTCAATTTATCCTTAACCCACCACAGTTGCTTCCAGTTCCAGCTAGTGTTGTGAGCACACTGAAACCTCTTCCAAGTTCTGAACACCAAGGCACCTTGTTTCTTACATCTGCACACAATATCCCAGGTTATAGGGGGGCTTTAGAATACACAACCTTCCCTTCCCATAGATAATTTCTAAATATAGCAGCAACACCATCAAGAACTGCTTTTGGAATGACAAAAATAGAATCCCAATAAATGTGAAGAGACATAAGCACTGAATTCACAAGCTGGGTTCTGCCAGCATAAGAAAGAGATCTGCAACCCCAACATCTGATTCTAGTAGTAATTTTATCAATTAAACATTGGTAATCATCCTTAGATAGCTTCTTAGTACCAACATTCACCCCAAGATATTTGAAAGGGAGAATACCTTCACAAAATCCAGAATTCTACAGCAATCTAATCTTCTCTGTCTACTCAACATTACAGCAATACATATTAGACTTGCCTTCATTGACCACCAACCTAGAAACAACAACAAAGGTAGCCAGAGCCCTTAACATAAACTAAACTGAGGCAAAATAACCTTTGCAAAACATAATCAGATCATCTGCAAAGACAAGATGATTAAGTTTCAATCTTCTGCATCTAGAATGAAAATGAAACTTAGGGTCCCAGCAACCTTCTTCAAGAGTCTGGAAAAATATTCCATACAGATTACAAAAAGTAAGGGTGACATAGGATCCCCTTGCCTCAAACCTCTCTTCCCATGAAAGAAACCTTCCAACTGTCCATTAATAGCTAAGGAGAAAGAAGGAGTTCTAACACACACCATAACCAAGTTAATGAATTTCCTAGGAAATTTGAGAGCTGCCAGCATTTCTTCAACAAAATCCCATTTGACAGAGTGATAAGCTTTCTTGATGTTTGTAGACACCCATTTGTGTCTCCCTAAAACCAAACCCAGTGATGAGTGCCTTTCACGTCGAATCATAATCGAATAAAACGAAAGTGTGGAAAGGTCTAGTGTTGCGGAAAGTTTTAATTCTTTTCTCTTCTCCCTGTTTTTGAAAACTTTATTTTAAGAAAACAGCCAATCCAGTTTGTTTGGTCCATGATATGGGTCCAATAGTGGTGTAGTTGGATGGGCTTGCAAAGACCTTTCCAACGATATATTATAAGCCTAATTCCGATGAATATTGAGGAATTTATGGCCAATTTACTAAACTGGGCCCGGTTTAAGTTTTAAGTACTGCCCAATGATCTAGGGGAGGGCCTGATATGATTTATCATTCCTAATGTAATTAGGAATGGTTTTGGTCTTCTAGAAAATTCTAGAAGGTTTTATCATTCTTAATTTAATTAGGATTCTTCAGAGTTTTAATTAGATCAAATAGCATTTTCGACTGAAATTATATTATTTTATCTTCCAATACGGGAAATTTATCGGATTTTCGAAAACACATTGAAATCCAAATTGGCGTCCAACCCCAGGCCTTGGCGCCTGGAATCAGGATTGGCGCCAGACGCCAGCCATTGGCGTCTGGCGCTAGCCACTGGTCCTGGCACCAATGAGCCAGGGCTGGCGCCAAGGTGTTTCTGTGGTCTTCAGACTCTGTTTTGATAAATTATCTTTTTTGGATGATTTTCTCTATAAATATCGTATCAAAAACTCCGTTTTCATTCACCAAGATTCACCAATTCTCTTTATTCTTAAGTCTTCATCAACTATCTTCATCATTCATCAATTAACATTCATCTCTTTCAATAATCCTTTTCATTCATCACTTTTCATCAATTTTCAATAACATTAATTCATTCATTCTTTTTTTAATACTTTGCTTTAACACAAAATTCCGCATTCACAAGATCTAGAAACACCTAGCCATATTCGAAGTTGCCTTCGCCCTAGGCGTGAATGGTTTTAATTTCTGAGGGTTTGGTTCCAAATCTCTATTTCAATTATTTAATTTAATTGTTTTAATTATTATTTTCCTTGAAGTTACTAACGTGTGTATTTTGTTATTAGAAAGAGGTATGAGGCATCAAAGTAAGTACTTTAATTGATTAATTGATATTATGATGTAGAAATAATGTTTATATTGTTATTATGATTCCTAGTATCATGTCTAGGGTATTTTTAATGTTAAATATGATTGCTATGATGCCTTTTATTCTCTTCCTAATATTTATGATTGTTAGTATCATGTTAGGGCTAAAGATTTGATTTTTATTGCTTAGTGACATGCTAGGGTTTGTTATTAATCTTGTTAGTATCATGCCTAGGATCTTGCTATTTTTATTACGCTTTAATATTAACATGAACATGATTATGATTATAATTGTTATAATTTATGATGATTATGAATATTATTATTATTATTATTTTGATAATGATTATTTTATTTATGATTATTATTGTTTTGATTATGATATTCGTTATTGTTCATGATTATTTTAATTATAATTATTATTGATTATTATTATGTTTCTTGAAACATATTATATTTATTCTTTATTGCTTGATCACACCTTTTTATGCATGTTAAAGGGAATTTGGTACTTGTAATCACGCTTAATAAGATAATTAATAATCTTGTTAGGGTTAATTGTGATTATAATTCAAGTGATCATCAATAATAGTTTATTTGTGCATTAAATTCAACCAACATAGATTAAACAGGTTTAGGGTTAAATCTATTGATTGCATGTTAATCAGAAAGCGCACATGAATACGAGCAGAATAAAGTAGAGGCCTATTATTAGGGCAGGTTCAATCTCTTTTAGGTTGGATTTGTACCATCATCCCCGAACCCTTATTTGGTTCATGACCTTATGGAGTTGACGATCTCTTGGATCATTAAGGGGTGTAACCTTCACCTCGTGAACGATTTACAAGTTCCTTAAAAACTTGTTGGCGACTCTTTTGCTCTATCTTCTTCCCTTTTGGACGCCACCGTACTTTAGTGTATGATCACAGTGGGGTTCAAGCTAGTGGGATTTTTAAGGCTTGAAATTATTCCCTACAATGTCAATCTTCAAAAGAAAACCACTAGGAGAAGCCTTTCTGCCATATCTAGCAACAATGTCTTGAATAGTACTAATATTCTGAATAATTTGTCTCCCTTCAACAAAACCATTTTGATTCTGAGCAATAATATCAGGCAATACTAGTTTAATTCTGCTACTAAACATCTTTGTAATACACTTGTATAAGACATTGCAACATGCAATTGGTCTAAATTAAGTGACAGATTCTGGATGCTCAACCTTAGGGATTAAAGTAAGAATAGTACAGTTCAACTCTTTAAGTAACTTACCAGTCTCAAAAAACTGCAGTACAGCATCAGCCACTTGATCACCAACAATATTCCAAGAAGAATTGAAAAATGTGCTGTTATACCCATCAGGTCCTGGAGCTTTAGCCCTAGGAATAGAGAAAATAGCCTTTCTTACATCATCCCTTGAAAAAGGTTTACGGAGTAACTAAGCTTGATCATCATTCAACACATACCCTTCCTGCACCACCTGACTACACACACTGACTCTTCCCCTGGATCATCACCAAGAAGACCTTTATAATACTCAATAAAAGCCTCAGAAACTGTCCTAGGATTATCACACCAAACTCCAGAAGTATTCTTTACAGCAATCACTCTCTTCCTGTATTTTCTCATCTTAATGCTTCTATGAAAGTTATTGTTCTCATCCCCAACTTGAAGCCAGTTAGTCTTGGCTTTCTGAGACAACCAAGAAAAATACTGGTTTCTAATTTGAGAAAAATCCTCCAGCATCTCAAACTCCTTGTTTCTCAAACTATCATCATCAATATTACTCTGAATATCTTTCTGTAGCTTCATTAAATTCAACTGAGCCACATTAAATTTACTCTCAATATCCACAAACTTAGACTTATGAAGTTTTTTTAACTCACACTTCAAAGCTTTCAATCTTTTAACAACCTTATACATGTGAACCCCATAAAGATCCATCTCCCAAACCTTCCTCACTATCTCATGATAAGTAGGGTGAGAAACCCACATATCAAGAAACTTGAACCCTGGCTTACCCACCATTATACCCTCATCAAGCTTAATCACTGCTGGACAATGATCAAAGTAAAGCTCAGGAAGGTAATGAACATGAGAATCAGGGAAAGCACTAATCCAGGCCTCATTTACCATAGTTCTATCAATTTTAGAGTAAACTCTGATGTCACCCTTTTTCTTGTTATTCCAAGTGAATTTACCACCAATACACTTCATATCCTGAACTTCACAAAAATCCACACATTCTCTAAAACTATCAATCTCAGAATGAGTAATAGGTCTCCCCACCTTGTCATCATAATTCAGAGGAGAATTAAAGTCCCCAGAAATGATCCAAGGCTCTTGACTTTTACCTCCCATCTCCTTCAACCTACCCCACAACTCTTCTCTACCAAGACTATCATTTACACCATACACCACTGTAAGAAAATACTCATTAGAAATTGTCATATTCTTAACTCTCAAATGAATAAACTGAGCATGAATCTGCAAGATCTGAATCTGAAAGAAATCTGGAAGCCAAGTAACAAGAATCCTACCCCCTTTAATCAAAGAAAAATTCGAAGTGATACCCCAGCCTTGAAACATATTATTATGCAAGCTAGGGAAGTTCACACTCTTTATTTTTGTCTCAAGTAAACATCATAACCCAACCTTTTGACTCAAAAGAAAGTGTTTCACCTCCTTCTATTTTGAGGAGCCATTTACGCCCCTCACATTCCAAACAAGCATTCTATCCATTCCCACCTAGCCCCAAAGTGGAGGCGCCACCCTTATCAGCTCAAATATTACCAGCATTCACCACATCCTCAATATCATCATTCACATTCTCACTATCATCATCATCCACTGAAAGTCGAGAAAATGAGTTTCTAACCAAAACAGGAGTGCTGAGACTTTGATTTCTAACCCCAGGCCTTTTCCTTAAAGTAATGAATCCCTGATCCACTCCATCAGCAGGTGGACCTTTCTCAACAAGTTGTTCAGCTTTATCACCATGCCCATTAGCCTGAACAACCTTAGGTCTCCAGACCTTCTTACACTCATTTGTGTCATGTCCCAATTGTAGACAGGATTCACACTTCCTAGGCTTCCATTCAAAGATCACTTTCTGCTGAACCAAAGCCCCATTCTCAGCTATGAATTCAATTTTCTCCATACATTCACCATCCAAATCAACCTCAACCAAGAATCTAGCAAATATCACTCTCTCTTTTTTCTGAGTAGCAGAATCAGGTTTAATTGGAGTACCAATAATACCCACAATTTTTTCCAGACTATTCTTCCCCCAAAACTTCAAAGGAAGATCTGGAAATTGAATCCAAACAGGGATTCTATTGAATTCATCACAATCAATCTCCATTCCATCAACCCATTGTTTAAAGAAAACAGGTCGATTATCAAACAATATATGAGCAGAATTAAGAGCTTTTTCCTTAGTTTCAACATTCAAGAATCTAATCAGAAAAACCCCTTTCTTAATCGGAATTACTTTATCAATATTCTTCTCACCCCAAATACGATTACAAAACCTAACAAAAGAGGTAAAATATGGGTTTCCCCAATCACAAAGGCCACAATACTCATATTCCAGTATGCAATTTCATCAGAGACATCATCAATTGACAATTGCAGTAAATTCATAGAAGAAGAAGAAATAGGTACCTCAGCAGAAGATACCCTGTTTTCCTGACCATCAAAATTCACTGTTACATCCATTCTATCCTTCGATTACAACACATTCATCCATTCTCACTATTTGGACTTCATCCTTGACCCTTGAATCAGCTCATGAATTGATTGTTCAAGGGAAAGCAGCACATCATCCCTTGAATCCCCTTTCTTTGAGATTAAGACTCGGGTGAGAGGGAAGGAATTAGGTTGCAGGGGAGCCCCATTTGCGATCATCTTTGTAGGAGAAGCACTTGATCAATTTTTCGATTACCTTACCTGCTGCCCTGGGACACATTCCTTCGAGCGTGGTAGAAAGGTAAAGAGATATGAGAGTGAGGCTAGCTTTTTGCATCCCCTAAGCCCTAAGAGAATGGATGTGCTTAGACGACTCTTGGAACTCGTCTTTACGCCTTTCGTTCAAAATTCTGGTTAAAAAAAGACTTAAGAGCAATGTTCGGAAGAAAGAAGGAGAGAGAATCTTACCCTCCCACAGACCAGCTCCATGCTCAGTTAAGCTCGCAACAAATGAAATAAAAAGAGTGAAATCATACATTATATGATTGCCGGTGGTCCATCGTGCTTGCGGGTTTGGTTGTTCTTCTAGCTAGTTAATCACTTCGTTAACACATGTAAAGCTTTGCAGCCCTCCCTGCGGTTTCCAGTTTAGTTTGTCTACTTCCCTTCCAAATGACGATGAGGCTAAGCGAACAAAGTCTAACCTTAAGAGGGGGATTGATCCTACTTATATATACTTTACCATATTTGCATGTCGTTCTTCTTTCCCTTCCTTAGAAGGTATCTTTTCATTTCATGAAACCGCAACTATTACCATACTTTACCATATACTGTGGACTCTTGCACCTTTCTCTTTATCTAATGAAATTGTCTCCGTATCAGCTACCGGGAAGGGTTTCCTATTTTGACTTTTAGATTTCCCAGATGGGATAGGATCAATTGATTTGATGGAATCAAATGTTTTAAGGAATCATATAGGAGACTTCCTAACTACGGTTACAGGCCTATCTAGAGGCCAGACATCCAGCAGGGAAATGCTGTGACTGAACTCATTAGGACTAAGGAAGTAATGAACTAACATACTAATGAATGCAGCTCTTCCGATACCACGGACATGTTGCTACCTGCCGGATCTGCTTGACTTGAGTGAGAGCTCTCTATAAAAGAGCTCGGACGATTAAGACCTACTTCGACTGAAAGAGTATACTTGATTGTAGTTCCTGCTGTTAAAGAGAAAACTAGTTAACCAAACCCTTTCTTGTTCTCTTGTTCCCTATCTTACTGATTATCATACCCCTAACCCTGACCCTTGAGAGTGCTGATAAAATCCCCTATAGAGTGCCTGCTAAAGGAAGAAGATCGGTTGCTCTTATCTTCTTATTTGTGCTAGACTCGTTTTCGCTACTTCTTATTCCTGTCTTAATAGGTGCTTTAACTACTGTTTTATAGCTCTATTCTTATTGCAACTATTGTTTCCCTGTAGCTACATTCCTCTTATAGCTCCTTTAGCTAATTCCAATACACCATACCAATAATAAGATGCATATAGGAGAATCTAGTTTCTAATTACTAATCTACGCCAATTATGGTCTTTATACCCCGATTTAAGAATATCATAACCAGTTGTTTCTTTTGTTATTGGAGGAAGAGCTCGACTGGAGCTAACAACATAGTTATTTAACTAAACTAGTATTAATGAACCATCTCCTCTTCTTGTTGCTAAAGCCTAATAACAAGGGACGTTCGATAGACCGTCTAAGAGCTTCCTGTTGCTATTGTTTCTATCTTGCCCTATCGTTTATATGCTCTTATATTGCTCATATAGTGAAAGCAGAACCAGCGCTTAAGAAAGAGTTTGAAAAGTTGACACGTCTTTAACTTGGCTACGAAACTCTGCCATACTGGTAAACCTTATCCTTATGCTCGTTCCACTCGTTAGCTTCGGTAATAGGAGTTTGATCGAGGTCGGATTTAGGAATAGCAACGGGAGATAGCTGGTTTTGTTTCATTAGTTTGATAAAATCTGTATTTAACGACACTAACTTACACTAAGAAGATAGTTGTTCCTTACTTTCTTTATACTAAACACGTATGTGCCCCTTTCAAGGATCCCTTACTCCAGTCAAGCATATTGTTAATTGGGGTTTGCTAGAGTCGCTCAAGGATCTCCTTTATCCAGTTCAATGAAAATAAGAAGGTTTAACTCTAAGGTAAGAAACGATCGAGTATCGAACTACCTTAAACCTGCTAAACAACGTCTTTCTCTCCGAACAATTAAAGGATATTGCTCTCCTAGAGAGCGTTTAAACCAATGTTAAAGAGCTATCACATATCAGAATACCCGATACTGTTAAACGGCAGATATTCCCTCGAACAATTCAAAGGCATTGATCTTCCTCGTTCCTTATTGTTTGAGATCTTATCATTCGAATGAATTCCAACTCTCTGCCATACTGCTAGCCCTTATTCTTTTTTATCTTTAGACTCCCACGAATAAGGGACTCTTTTTTTAGTTCGAATTGGTTTGTATGACGACTTCTGAATGTGGATCATTGGATCATTCAATCGATGTCTTATTTCACACCCTCCGTTACTTTTAACGTATATATACCATTCTTTCATAAAAGGAACAGGAAACGAATCCCTTAAAAGAAGCGTCGTAAATGGTTTTGGTAACAAGTACTTTTAAAATATTGATTCCTTTTCATACATAAATGTTATTTTTTCATCTATTGAATTGAAACCTATAACCATATAACTTCGAAAGCGCGCATATTTAAAAACAAGATAGAAATCTTTTATAAACCGATCGATATTATCCATATAAATATCAAATAGTATATAGCTCAGGTACGGAAGTTTCGAAATACTATCAATATTGGAGCTACTTCTACCCCCTTCATAACGGATAGGAATCTTAATTAATGACGCAAAAAGTCGATAGAGATTATCATCATTATTAAAGATTCATTTCATTTTATCTAATACTCCACATATTGGTATAGATTCATAAGAATTAGAGCAATCAATAAGAAAGAGACCTTCCAACTCCCACCATTCCGAAAAATAATGATGGAAACTATTTATTGATTCTATATCACTCATACAATACAACTCATATCTACAACTATGTAATTTATATTGTCTCTGAATTTGAATCATTATCATTTAAACCAATGAATAAATAATCAACACGTCTTTTTTATCAACACATATTTCACACTCCGACATATTAGTTGAAAAAGCATCGGGATCTTTAATTCTAAAATAAAAAAAATTATGGGAGATACAAAGACCCGAAAATTGATAATCATCAGATAGAAGACGCTTATTAATACCAATGAGTAAATCACCAGCATGAATCTGACTACTGGAGTCATGCATCGCTGGGAAGTTACCTAAATTAGCTGGAAATTGATTCCCTACCCTACATATAGAATGCTCCTACCTCTACAGTAGAGTACGAGACACTATATGCTACTATGAGTAGGCAGATTTTGGTATAAAGAGCTTCTGCCTGGCAGCTCTAACTCAAAAGGGTAATTAACCCCACATGAACAACCTGACTCAGGGATTTCAGTAGAGAAACTACCAGAGTCATATCTAGCAATCAAAGAAGAAGCTTACAAGCATTATCCCAATTAAAGTTAGTGAAGGAAGACAAAGATAGCTACACACAACTCTTCTATAATACGACACATAGTCTCTATCATCCCTTAGTCTTGCAACTACCTTGTACAGAGTGGAAGAACAAAGGTTCAATGAAGATTCGCCGGCTAACTAAAGCACTTCTTCCTAGCCTTTTACAAGGTATCCCTCTGAGTGGGCAAAGAAGTTTCATCTTCTGGCTTTAAATAACCTTTCTCAACTATCTCCCAAGCATCTTGTGATCCTAGCAA